GCATCTAATTTAATGAAGATATAAGCATTGATTCAGCACTGGCCCAGCTAGGTGCTATTTCACACTTTAAAAGGTGTAATGCATAGTTTTTGCTGAGAAGGTATTGAAGCTATTTTGGAAAGACAAGACCTGTGCTTATTCAAAGATAACAAAGTAGAGTGTTTTGAGTGACAAATGAGTAGAGTGGATAGTTCATAGAAGGGGAAATCATAACCTACCAGAGTCATCAGTTGCCAAGGGACAGAGGGGAAGAGAGGTAGGATGTGTGATTTTGTGGCCACACCAGAAGCAAGATTCTTTCACAGTGCTTTTCATTTGTTTGCCCTGAGTAAGAGTGTTATACAATAATAAGATGAGCACAAAAGCTGCACCGTCCTAGAAATTGAAGAGCAGAAGCTCTCTTCATTATTATCTGTTGTCAATGGGATCAAATTGGGTGAGAGATAAATACATCTTTGTCTTTTGCTTGTTGTATATAAACTGCTCCACACATAGGTATAAATTTGAAAGGCTTTATTAGGATTCGTAGTCAACATTGTTCCACCTCAAAACACTCTGATATTGGCTTCACACCATTCTGTGTTGTCTAGCCTAGTCACTCAAGACAATGTCCCCCAGCATCCTGACCTTCAAACATCCTCCATTGACCTGGATCGGAGCAATGGTGCTCAGTCATGAAGTCATGGACCTATAAATGATGCTCTTATAAGCTGACCTGGTGGTTTTTATTGAAATTGTCCTATATGTAGACCCAAAGAGAGCTAGATAGGCTTTAAAAACAAGAGAACAGAAAGGCCAGCTGGTAACCTCCTATTTCTCAACAGGAGAAATAGTACCAGGAAGCCATCTGGGCACTGCAGGGCACATACCCACACTCCCCCCATTTCTTCTAGTTCCCTTATGGAGTGCATAAGGATGTGGCATTTACAACTAAATACATGGAAACATGTTCTTAGGAAGCCGAGAACAGAGTAGCCTGGGATAAGACAGAAGAGGGAGAAAAGAAATATTTCTGTGAGCTGGGATCGTCTCTACCCATTAGATTCATTCTCTATGAATGAATGATGCCATATACCTCAGACATCATGGAAGGGTTTAATGTAAAAAACACATTATGTAAACTGGAATAGTCTTCTTTTCCAATCAGAGCAAATGGTTTAGGCAGTAGGGCAGACAGCTTTGTCATTGGATGGAGCTGCATGTGGTTTTTGTGTTTGACAAAGAGATGTCTGTTTATGGATAGGTAAGGGCTATAGTAGAGTCTAGAAGCTCCCACCACTGGAGCATGGCCTTGTCCCAGTATAGTCAGAGAGATCTGGGTTCAAGTTGTCCTGGCTATTCCCTTAATGTCCTATGTCCTCAGCATACTGATCCCCTCTGAGCTTCATTTCTGTAAAATAGGGCTACTGCCAGCTTCTTTACTTGCTTAATGTGGATTATATATGATAGTGTTTTAAAGGGTCTAGCAGCATATAGTAGACACTCAGTAGATGGCAACTATTTTTTTTAAGATTTTATTTATTTTTAGAGAGGGAAGGGGGGAGGGAGAGAGAGAGAGAGAGAGAGAGAGAGAGAGAGAGAGAGAGAGAGATATCAATGTGTGGTTGCTGGGGGTTCTGGCCTGCAACCCAGGAATGTACCCTGGCTGGGAATCGAACCTGGGACACTTTGGTTCCCAGCCCGCGCTCAATCCACTAAGCTACGCCAGCCAGGGCTGATGGCAACTATTTTTATTATATCATTCCCACTACCATAGCTTGCCATACTCCTGCTATTGTTCTGTGTGTCTCTGTATCACAGATTACAGAGGCATACAAGTGAAGTTGTTCTCACAGAGTCTGTCTTAACTCTAAGACTGTCCTCAGCTGTTTTACTGTCTGGCCTCCTAAGCGTGAGCTGTGAGCCCAAACAGCAGTCTTTACAAGCCCATGGGTATAGTAGTAAGGACAGCTTGTCACTCTCTGTGACTCTGCCTCTGCCTCCCAAGGCTGTGTGACATCTTCCCCCCATTGGAGCCATTTTCAGTTTGCCTTTAATTGCTTCTTACTGGGATAACTTGTCAGCCAAGGCTACTTTCTGTCACTTGATGCCACATCTCTTTCTAGTTCAGTCATCAGTTGGGGACTTTCACTTAGTTGACAGTCTAATTTTACAAAGAACCCTGTACCAGATGCTAATTTGCCTCGTTAAGAGGGTCCAGCAGGGTTTCTTGCCTTCATGTCCTACCCAAGGTGCTGGCGCATTTCTGCCTTGCCATGGCCATGGCCCTGCTCTGAGAAGGCTGGGAAGATGAGGAGATGGATAAAATAGGACTCAGAGGTTACCCAATTATCAGTAAGAAAAATGTGAAAGCTGCACGTGCACTCACGCGCGCGCGCGCACACACACACACACACACACACACACATGCACAGAGTAATGTCAGGGCCAGGGAGCAGATAAAGAGCTCACCTTCAAAGAGTTTTGAGAGAAGTCTGGTTACCTTTGGCCAGTTTCTGGCCCTTGTTCTCCTCTGTGTCTCTCCAGAAACTGGCATTCTCGGCACCTCCCATGCCTCTCTCCATCACGTATCCTTCTTCCAGGAGAGTTCCTCATCACAGGACTCTGCATTCCTTTCCTTTAAAAAGTCTTTTTCCTTTTTATTCCTCTCTCCTGCAGAGGTACCTGAGCTCTCCTGCCATTTATCATTCAATGGAGCCAAGCCTCAGTCTGTCCCATTGGGATGAGCTATTGTTATGTATTAATAATTAACCTTTACAAGGAGCTCTAGTCATAGGCATTTAACCCAATGCAGAGAAAGCCGAAGTTTTGTTATGACAGAGAGATTAACATGTTCGCGCATAATACCAGTGGTTAGAAAGGAGAAGCTGCCAGTAATTAAACTTTCATTTTCTTTTCTGGTTCACTCATGTAGAGACTGCTAAGGATCCTGCAGTGTTTCCCCTTCACACATGGTCAGTCCAGCAGAGGGAAAATGGGAAATTCAGCTCTTGAATTGGGGAGTTGAACATGCATGACTTTCTGCATAAGGTTAAAGATGAACTTCCTGGGAGCTGCTAGTGGACTTCGTTTCTAGTGTTCACTGTAGTAAAACACACAGACTCCGGAGCCCAGCTCCCTGAGTTCAAGTCCTGCTCTACCACTTCTCAGCTATGTGACAGTGAATTAGTTCCTTAAGTATTCTCCAGGGGTATTTCAGCACCAGGGAAATGGGGGGATGATGGGGATATCTCAAGTGGGTGTTGTCAAGATCTAATAGGATGGTAGGCTTCAGATCCTTAGCATACAGCCTGGCAGTAGGTGCTCAGTAAATATTATTATCCTTCTTATTTTCAGTGGTATTGTCTATGGTTACCATGGCCAAGGTCATATGGTAGGCAAGGCGCATTTAATTCTTAATCATTAGTTATATATGAAAAGGCTAATAGCTCTGCTTGGATATCTCCTGGTGATAGGGGAGCGCAAGAAAACAGTTCTATAGTTGGGTGTTAGGTATTAAATGCTGAGCACTGGAATGACTCATCCAGTTAACATTTTATCCCTGAGATGGTTTGTAAGACTTATTTTAAGACTTAAGTCTTGTTATTTTACTGAAAATAGAGATGACAGTACAACCTACACTGATCTTTGGAAAGGATGGAATCATATTAATAACAATCACAACAACTGCCTCCAAAATAGCTGAGATTTTTGTGGCTTTACCATGTGCCATTTCTAAGGGCCTTACCTGTATTAACTTATTTCATCATTATAAAATCATTTACTCCTATATTCCTATTTTCAAAGGAGAAAACAGGCTCATGTGAGTTACATTAAATCTGCCAAGGTCACATAGCTTGTAAGCAGTGGATGTGGGATTTGAACCTAAATCTGGATCCTGACTTAGAATTTGAATAAAGTGATATACGAGACATAGCACAGTGGTTGGCATAATCAGTGCTCTAATGTTGAGCCCATTCCCTTCCAATTTTACTTTCTGTTTATTGTATGCGTGCGACATTGCTGAGTGGTCAGAAGTCCAGGACCCATCCCAGGGCACTGCATCACAATTCAGTTCTAGTGACAGCAAATCGTTTTTGAAATTCTAATTTTGAGGAATAAGAATAATCCCTGCTTATATGTGGACGACACCAGATTTAGAAAGCCATAATATATTTGTATATGTTTTAAGGTATTTCATTCTCTCAGGATATGTACATAGAGAGCACACATAACATGCAAAGAAATACTGATGTCCTTCCCCACCAACTCTTAACAATCATTTTCTTTAAGCAATATATCCATATGGTTAAAAAACATCAAATATAATAGGGTACTGTGAAAAGTAAGTCTTCCTCCCACACATGAATATTAATCTAACAAATACACTCCCCAGTGACACTTTTATAGTTTCTTGTGTTTTCCTCTGAGTTGTCTTATGCATTATGAGCATATATACCTATAACACCACTTCAGCACACACGCTTTACACAATAATAGCATAATGCACGCTCTGATCTGTTCCTTGCTAATTTCACTTAACAATAGTACTTGCAGAGCATCCACATTGAAATTAGAATCATTACCTGGTTTCTAAGGACTGCATAATATTCGATAATAAGGATGTGCCAGTCTATTATTGATAGTCATTTAGGTTGTTTCTGGTCTTCTACTAATGACACTTTAATAAATATCTTTGTATATATGTATTTGTAGCTGTGCAACTTAATATGTCTTGAATTCTATCTGTAAGCTTGTGTAATTTTCTGACAATATAAAAATTGACCAGAAGTAGACAGACAGAAGGTTTAGAATGTAAACACAGGAGCTTATTCAGGACCTGTGTACACCCTAGAGGACTCTTCAGATGCTCTTTCAGATACCACATCTCATGTTTCTCGTGTTTCAGATGATTGTGTCCCGAAGTTTCTTCTCAGGCCTTTTTCCTGGGTGCCCCATGAGTGATGACTGGTTACTGTTTGCAAGATTGATTCATATGGCCCATGTTTGGCTTTTGACAGGTTGTTTATAAAAATAATGACATCCGTCTGGAGCTGTCTCGCCTGGCCCGGATTGGGGATACCAAGATGAAAATCTATGGGGAAGTTGTATTCAAGTGTGAGAATGTGGCCACACTGGATCCCATCAACTTTGAGACCCCAGAGGCTTATATAAGCTTGCCCAAGTGGAATACCAAACGCATGGGTTCCATCTCCTTTGACTTCCGCACCACCGAGCCCAATGGCCTGATCCTCTTCACTCACGGCAAGCCCCAAGAGAGGAAGGATGTTCGAAGCCAGAAGAACACCAAGGTGGACTTCTTTGCCGTGGAACTCCTGGATGGCAACCTGTACCTGCTGCTTGACATGGGCTCTGGCACCATCAAAGTGAAAGCCACTCAGAAGAAAGCCAACGATGGGGAATGGTACCACGTGGACATTCAGCGTGATGGCAGATCAGGTAGGCAGAGGTGGGGTATCACTGAAACTGGAGGACAGCTCCAGCTTCTCTGTTTGTTTCCTGGCTTTATATTTTTATTATAATTTCCTCACTTGCATGCTTGTTAACTCTTTTGCTATTCGCTGTCATGGTTGTTGTAATGGTTATGTTTTGGAACAAGACACCTGCTTCCTCGATGGCTCACATTTTCCTCTCCCCTGTCACTCATTGCACAGTTATCTTAGTGATAGCTGCAAGACCCTGAGCTAAGGGTGGTTTTTCAAGTAGCATTTTCACAGATACCAAAGCAACTGTCATGTCGTGGGTGTGATGGTCCCCTCTCCCAACTTTTCTTCTTTGCCTTTTTTGCATCACCATGGAAACCAATTGTGACATCACAGAAGCTACATTATGTGATAACTCTGTAGGATAAGCTTCACAGTGTAAGAGTTTATGCAACAATACACCCTTCAATAATTGGCAGGAGTCATGTTTCAGGGAAAAAATTATGACAAGAAAAGAAAAGGCAAATTGATTTTTCCTGAAGTCATGTTCAATTTAAAGCCTTCCTTTGGTGTGAAAGCCTATATTTCACTCTTTGCTAAGACCTCACTAACTCTCCCTTCCTCTTCATAACCTTTTACATTTGGTTTAAATGGCTTTGTTTGTTTCTGCAGCCGCAGATCAAACAAGCTAGCCCCAGGCAGTACATAGCCACTCTGGAGTAGTAACAGAGAGGGAGAAAAAAAAATTCACAAATAGAGAGTCTGGAGCTTTTGAATGTCTGAACAGTCTGCCTAGTTTTCTATGGACCATGTGGCAATGAAGGTCACATTCTCTGCCATTAGAAAAGGCATTTCACCCAGAGTGCTAATTAGAGCACTTGAATTTCACACATTTCCTGATTCTCTATTTAGGTGGTATTATACTCAAGAAGGGTCTTGGCTATATTTCCATCATTTTTAAGGATGCACTCTGGAGATGTCATTTGGACATTTTCTTTCTAGGTGCATTGGGCTAACAATAAAAAGCAATAGGCTCCCTCTAACAGTTTATAGCCAGGAATGGCTGAGCTTGGGGGAAATGGCTTTCTGGCATAATTTCAGAGCTAGAAGGCTGATGGCAATGAGCAATGCTGCCCTTAGGAGGAGCTGGATGGGTTCTGTGCAGAGGGCAGATGGGTGGTGGATTGCAGCCCTAGACAGTTTATTGCCCAGTAGGATGCTTTATTGATTGTCTAAAATATGATCAGAACCAAGAAGCATCAAATTAAATGTGCTTTTTAAGCAGGAATGAAGAGTTTGTGCTTTGTTTTTAAAACAGAAAAATACACAAAAATTAATTTCTCTTGAGACTGAATTTTTCTCTGAGTTTATCTTTAAAATGTCAGCAGGGCAGAGCCAGAAAGCTGTCCCAGAATTATAAAAGAAATACTCCTGTTGGAGTTTAAGACCCATGCATTTTGGGTCTCTGGAGTTGGGTCATGATTGATGGGTGTCGTGACTGACTAACCTAGACCCTGACACAGCTTAAAGGTCACCTATCTGTGTCACAGACAGGCTAGAACACGTAAAATTGCCATATGTCTACTTCTGTTTATTCCCAACACTAACTGCTCTTTCAAGTAGAGCAGTTATTTTGTTTTGTTAGAACCGCCAGAGGACCCATCTTTGTCAAATTGCTTTGGATTTCAGAAGCTTGAATTTCATACCTGGGAGCTATAGCATTAGCCTATAAATTTGAAATACCTATACATTTGATCAAATCCTAAAAAAAATGTACTGAGTAGACAAATAATTATCCTGTGAAAGCAATGAAACATAAAATTTTAATATGACCTATTAAACTTTATTTATGAATATGTTTTCTGGTATATTGTTTTTAGTTATAAACTTATACTAAATTGAATAGTTGTAAATGCATTAGCCTATCTAAGTGTGGCACCTCCTTTCCTGTTCATCCTGAAGAATAACATGACTGAGAGGTGATCTAGAAAAAATTTTATTTCACTTAGCATAATACCCTCTGGGTCCATCCATGTTGTTGCTAATGGTAAGATTTCATTCTTTTTTGTGGCCAAGTAGTATTCCATGGTATATATGTATCCATTCTCTATCCACTTGTCTATTGATGGGCACTTAGGTTGCTTCCATACCTTGGCTATTATAAATAACAAAGGGATTAAGAAGTACAAATTGGTAGTCACAGAATAGTTATAGGGATGTAAAGTGCAGCATAGGGAACATGGCCAATGATATTATAATAATTTCGTATAGTGCCAGGTGGGTACTAGAATTATCAGGGGGCACCTTATAAATTATGTAAATGACTTAACTACTATGCTGTACACCTAAAACTAATATAAAATATTGAATGTCAACTGTAATTGGAAAATAAATAAACAAACTAAAACAGAAAAAAAAGAAAGAAAAGCTTTTATAATCACTCCTCAGTTGGGGACAGATTCTTGAAGCTTGGTTAAGTGCCTTTAAACCAGCTGTGGTCACACCCTCACAGGATAGATTTCTTCAGGGTGTCTTGAAGGCTCCAGCATTTAAATTTGTTCTGGTACTCATCTTATTTGGCAATAGATGTTCCTTCCCGCTAGTTGGTGATCAGATTAGCTCTGTAGATTTGTGGAGAGCAGGCAAAGCAAATTGTGCAAGAGAGAAGAAAGAGACAGAAACTTCAACTTCCTCATTTGTGAGACAATAACTCTTATCTCACAAAATTGTTTTAAGGATCAAGTTGAAAGAAGCAAGTTGAAAGTACTTACAATGGTGGCCAGGGCATTATTATTGTTATATAGGGGTGTGTGTGTGTGTGTGTGTGTGTGTGTGTGTTTTCTTTACATAGGTTTTTAAAAGATTAAAAACCAAAAAAAAGCAAAGCAGATTTCTCCAGGAGAAAACTTTTAGGGGAGAGCAGGGGAAGCAAGCTGTTGGTTTGCTCCTCCCGGAGGCCCATATGTTCTTTCTACTCCTCTGCCCCTGTGTTGACTTTGTAATTTAAAGTGTGATCTCAGTCCTCAGGCTATTCCCTCTGCAGCTGAGGGAATTGAAATTCTGACCGAAGTGAAAGCTGCCTGATGGATGGCAGTTAACTTGGTACCAATGAGCACCTTAAGAATACTAAATAATTTTTTAAAGTAATGGCATGGTGTTTAGATAGCACCTTGATTTTACAGTTTCCTTGATGCTACACTTTAGGAAATTGAGCTGTAAATGGCCTAGGGTCATCTTCATGATCGAGGACTAGAACCCTTGTCCCAAGTTTCCAGGTCAGTCTACCTAGGGCTATACCTTCTGTAATCCCATGTGTCCAGCCTCTTTCTAACTCCATCTCCTGCTCTCTTGCTCTTGCCTTCTCCACTCTAGCCACACCCCTGCCTACCCCAGGGCCTTGGTAGGTGCCATTCCTTCTGCCAGACAGTCTTCACCCTGGACTGGAGGATCCTTCTCAACATCCTGGTGTCAGCTCACCTGGCATATGCTTAGAGAGGCCTTCACTTTAAAGAATAACCCTTGGGCTGCTACTGTAGCACCCATTTTACTCTCTTCCTAGCACCTGCTGTTAACTAATTTCTCTTGTTTATCGGGTGATTTGTCTATTTTCTGTCCCTCTGCTCTGGAATATTAGCTCCATGAAAGCAAGGCCATGACTGTCAAGTTCATCTCTCTGCATAGAACTATACCAGAGACAGAAGAGGTGCTCAATGCATCTTTGTTAAATGAATTAATCAACATTTTCAATGAAAATTTAGCAAAGACAGTGCCCAAAATATTCACTGGCATACCTGGTAGCTAATGCCAGTGTAGAGGGTCCCTGTGCATGGAGGGTCCCATCCTTTTGGGGAGGATGAGCCAGTGATGAAGACTCAGGCAGGCACATACAGAGAGCCCTTACTTGACAGAGGGAAATGCACTTTGTCTATATGAGCTCATGTAATCAGCACACCAACCTGAGAGGTGGGGACGATTATTTCCCCATCTTACAGATGAGCAAATTAAAGCCCAGGAAGATGAAGACACTTCTTCAAGGTCACAGGTAGTATGTGGTGGAGCTGGGACTTAAACCCAGGCAGCAACTGTGCTGCTCTCACCAGTGTGGCACGTGACCTCTCAGGTAGGACTGTTAGGTAGAGAAAAGACTTCACCCTACAGGTACTAGGTTGTTGGGATTGTCTTGGCTCCTCCTAGTGGCCAGGCTATCTTACCTGCAGAGATTGGGACCCCATTACCTACACTGTTTTTTTCTACCACCTTGTAGGACTTCCTTCCCTTGCTTGCATTGTTCTGTCCTGGCCACACAACGTTTGTCTCAGTACTCACCTACTGGGCTCCTTTCTTACTTTCACCACCTGGCAGTCTCGCCTGAGATGCCCAGGAGCTGTTAGCTCACTCTTTCTGTCCTCCCATTCCAGGTACCATATCAGTGAACAGCAGGCGCACGCCTTTTACCGCCAGTGGGGAGAGCGAGATCCTGGATCTGGAGGGGGACATGTACCTGGGCGGGCTGCCAGAGAACCGTGCTGGCCTCATCCTCCCCACTGAGCTCTGGACTGCCATGCTCAACTACGGCTACGTGGGCTGCATCCGCGACCTGTTCATCGATGGGCGCAGCAAGAACATCCGGCAGCTGGCGGAGATGCAGAACGCGGCGGGCGTCAAGTCCTCCTGTTCACGGATGAGCGCTAAGCAGTGTGACAGCTACCCCTGCAAGAACAACGCTGTGTGCAAGGACGGCTGGAACCGCTTCATCTGTGACTGTACGGGCACCGGCTATTGGGGGAGAACCTGCGAAAGGGGTGAGTCGGCAGCGTGGGTGGCATGGGTGGTGGGACTCATGGGTGTGACCACTACAGTCACGTCCGTGGAGAGACTTGTGCTTTCTTTGCTACCACAGGTGCTGCCTTTGGGCCTGCCTGTGCTTTCTTTCTTCTAGAGGAGCTTTCTTGGGTTCACTGCTTTCCAGGTGGCACCCTTTCTAGTTCTGGTTACTTGGATTTGTTTGACTGGTGCTGGGTCGCAGAAAGGACAGTTTTGAGTAAAGATTCCAATGGTCATGACGTTTTTTATTAAGTGTCAGACATCTTTTATTTAGAGAGGGTGAATACTTGTCTTTTGGGGTTCTGGGTGGGCTGACTGGCAGTTTTATTTATTTAACTCACAGTTTTTGGTGCTCTCTGTATGCTAGCTCTTGCATTAGGCTTTAAAAATACATTATTGAACAAGACAGACCCAGCTCTATTTTCATGGAGCTTGCTTCATAGTTGACTATTTAGCCATTAAATGAATAATTTTAAACGTGGTGGGTTTCTTAAGAGTCAGTGTGGTGTATTGGTTAAGAACATGAACTCTGGGGCCAGACTGGGTAAGAAATCTGGCCCCAGAGGAGTGATGTGACCCATATCAAGATAATATATTTGAGACTTGATTTCCTCATCTGTGAAACAGGAATAATCAGGTACCTCCCTCACAAGATACTGGTAATGATGAAGTGAGTCAAAAGATCCTGGACTAGGGCAAGCAGTTAATTAATGTTAGTGATTGCTGCAATCATAATTATTGTCATTCAGCACCATTAAATGGGAAATAGAGAGAAGTTTGGGTGGCTTTTACAAAGGGACCTGACGTACTGGAGGGGTTCATAGAAAGCTTCTGTAAGGAAGAAATATACAAGTTGAGACTTGAGACATGAATACAAATGAACTTGGCAAAGAAGAGGAAGGAAGGTGTGTGTCCTAGACAGGAAGGACATGCCAAGGTACAGAAGTGAGAGACCATGGCACAGTTGAGGAACTGAACACAGTCCAGAATGGACTGAAGTGTGAAGTGCTGTGGGGAGAAGGTTCAAAGAAGTGGCTGAAGAGGTGGATAGCAAACCAAGAGGATTGATGGATTAGAACAGGCCAGAACACTGGGAGGAGCCCTTCTCATTCACCACTTTAGCATCTTATGTTTGCATGGAATTTACAGTTGGGGTAAAAGGCAGAGGTAAAGGCAAGCAAAGAGACAACACCAAGACAAGAAGATTCTAGTCTATAAGCCAGTCCAGATTACAGTCTAGTTGATTGTTTTATATACCAGGCCCACAGAATCAAGTTGACTCCCCATGGGTTGTCACCCTCTATTTTATATGAAAAGATAATCTACACAGTTGTCAAGTGTTTGCTGAGGGTATAGCTCTAGGGCTTTGAGGATACTGCATCTGTTATAGGTAATTCTTTCCCTCAAGAAGTTTATCATCTGTTTAGCTAAGGATTGAAGCATCAATACAAAAAACAATGATAAAATGATAAAAGGCAGTGGCATGAACTCTATTGGTGGACCAGACTAGGAAGACATGGAGAGTCAAAACAGAGAAGACTTTCTTGAGTGGGAACCTACAAAGTCTCATCCCTAAAGACTACCAGTGGTCAGAATTGTCCACCATCACAAGTCTGGTGATGAGGAGATATCTTAGAGCAGAAACTGGATGAATAGTCAAAGATGTTTCATGTTGTTTTTGTGAGGTCAACTGTATTACTAGTTAAGGTGTGCTTCAAGAGAACTGCAAGTCTTCCTTGCAATCAGACCAAAAGTAGGGTTCAGGACATTGGCATAAGGGAGAAGGAGCCTCCTTGGAACTTACAGAATTTAAATTCAAATTTACTGAATTTTCAAAGCTGCAACAACCAGAACATGAGCTAAGATGAGGAAGCAACAATTTTGAACAGAAGTGGGCTGCGTAGGAGCTGGTCAGTCTGTCAAGCTCCTGGACTCTTTCTAAATCTCTTTCTAGGGTAGACTATCCTGGTATTGGTTTGGGAGATTGAAAGGTCATTCAACCTCTGAGATGCATGAGACAGAAAGGTAGTGTAAGAACTGAAAGGCACTTTAAACACTTTGCTTTCTCCTCTTGGGTCTCTTCTGAAATCAAGGTCCTTGTGGTTGCTGAAGACAGGGAGCAGTGACTGTAGGTACCTGTGTCTCTGAGTTCACCTATGCCAAGGACAGATCAATGGGAGTTGGTCCAAGATTTGCCAAGCATGGTGAAAGTCACTGCACCTTTTACATTGTCACTTTTGACTAGTCATTAAAAGGCAGCTGATTGGGGATATATGAGGGACAATTATTCCTGGTACAGTGCAGCCAAGAGTCATCCATTCTGGACAAATGAGAAGGAGCCTAGCAAATTTAAGACATTTGATCTATACATCGCTCAAATTCCAGACAGTTCAACTGATTGTTTTGTTCCTCCACTAATTGTTTTTTGGCTCTGTATTGTTCCTGACACCATGTTCAGAATGAATCAGTGGAGTATAAAAATGATAGGACTCCACTCTGCTAGCAAAGCAAATAGAGCTTCCGAAGGACATTGTTTTTCTTTATTGAAACGGATTCCTCAGGAGAGATGCTTTTGAGTATCTCTTATTCATTTTCTATGCATGCAGCAACCATGAAACCCTAGTATGTTCCAGGCATTGAATTAGAGGCAGAAGTTGTAAATAAACTGACAGCACCTGATTTTGATCAAGGGGCATATAATCCTTCTAGGCAAACAAAGGGAAATGTGGGAAATGTGCTAACACGTGCTTGGTATTATGCTGGAGGGAATGGAAGGACATACGGATGGGAGAGGCCATGTTAATACGGAGCAGTGATGGTCAGAAAAATGGGCCTCAGGGTTTTTTTTTATTATTTTCTTGTCTCCTATTTCTAATAGAATGATGGCCTCTTCCTACCTGTCACCCTTAGGATTCACTACAGGCACTTCTGCAGAGTAGGGAGGGAAAGGGTTTGTTAAAATTATTTATATACAGGAACACAATCCCTTTTGGATCAAGGAATGCTCCTCTATCCACCATAACACCAGCAACATGGTCACTCAGTTTACCATTCTCTCTTTAATTTTCTTCTAGAAGCATTATACCTAAGCCTAGAATTCATAATTGGTGATAAACGTGGTAAATCTGGGACAGTTCCTAAGACAGTGTGTCCCATCTAGCCCAAACTGTGTCCTGTACTTGGGCTTCATAGTGGTCAGTGCACTGGTATTGTAGTCCCTGCATCAGAAACAGTAGTATTAGAAAGAAGCATTTGTGTATATGAAATAGAGAAGGCATAGGAGTGATGCTAAAAACTGGTATGTAGAGAAAAATCAGAGTTGGGGATAGCATGGGCCACATATTAGATCAAAATAGCCTAAGAACTCAAGCAAAGTGAGCAAGCAGTTCAGTCTAAGAGACAACTCCAAGATCAAAGTTGTCAACCCAAGGCAAGGGAATATAGCAGGCAACTACTGGGAAATGTAAGAGTATGTTAGACCAAGATTAATTTGCATGAGTATTTTTCTCTTAGAGTAAAAATGGAGGACTCTTGCTTGTACCCTTACAAGAGTACTTCTACTGCCTGTGAAAATGAGCGGTGCTAAATCTTGACATATGACAATTGGCTTGATGTCGCATTTAGATTTTTTCAGCATGATCTGATACTATTCTAAGAAGATGTAGATATATCTACCCATCTCGGTTGTTCAGCTGTAGCTATTTTGGTTTGCTATTCATAATGAAGTGGGAGACCTAAAAAGCAAAGTTCTATTTTAGCTGCGGAATGCCAATCAGTTTGGTTGAAATGCTTTCATCTGCTGGAAGACCACCTGCCACCCTGTGAAGTCCTATTGTATAGAGGAAACATTCTAGCTTGTCTGTCTTAAGAGGATAAGATCAATTGACCTGGGACGACATAGACATCTTCTTGCCAGTGTAGCCAAACTGTATAGTTCCCTTGGTGGGAATCAAGTGTCAATAGGCAAGGCAATGGATTTGATTTATTTGTGGACCACTAAACTTCATTTTGGCCACTGAAGATTCTATCCTCTTCTCTGGATGGCTTTTTCTGAATGTAGACCATCATTTATTTAGCAAGAAAGAAAATAGGAATCGCCACAAGTCCATCTCTGTGACAAGAAAAATAACCTACAGTGCAGCACCTAGAGTCAAGATTGCCTGGTGGTTAGTGGTATGAATTTTAGAGTTGGAGCTTAATTCCTGTGCTCATTCTATCACTTACTAGCTAGATGATTTACAACAAATTTTTCTATTAATTCTTCTAAGCCTCAGTTTTCTTATCTGTAAAATGGGAACACTAATACTAGGTAAAGTTTTCTTGGTGGCAAGTTACAGACTTGACTATGGCCAACAGAGTCAAAGAAGAGGATTTGCTGCATGGTTACCTAGAGAGGCAAATGAAGATCTCACTAACTGCCTCTTACACAGGGAAGAAAAGCAACTCTGGGGGCCCCAAGGCACTGTGTTTAAAATGATTCATTTCTTTGACTCCAGGTTCTGGATTTTTCCATTTAGAATGTACATTTCCCAGCAGGAGAATCTGATTGGCCCAATTTGATTCTCCAGTCAGCTCTGTCCAGGTGGGCAGTCACCTAGAATAGATGGGAAGGATCACCCGTGTGTGTGTGTGTGTGTGTGTGTGTGTGTGTACATGGGTAAGCTCGGGGTACCCCGACCCATGCAGCCATGTCCTATTATAGATGTCCAGCCATACGGACCTACTGTCTGATAAAAGAAAATGTTTCCTGGGATTATGGAAATTTGGTGTCTTTGAGAATATTAATTTGTAGAACCAAGAAAATGCGATGGAAAAGGTAAATCTTCTTTTCTCACTGGTCCCCAGGATTCCATTCTTCTGACACAAGCACCAGCTGAAAACCAAGAATGAAAGATATTTTGAGTTCTCTCAAATGCTTTTTGTTCCAACAAACAAAGAGTGCAGGCAGCAGCTTCTCCCCGCTCCAGCTCAGGGACTT